ACAAAAAGACACAGGATTTACAGTTAGGTAGCATTTAAAGAAGAAATTCCCTAGCAATTTGAATATGTACTCTGTTTACAGAGTAAAGAAAAGTCTAAATAAAACCAAGATCCAGTTGGAGGATGTTCTACCAATGACTGCATAACTAATCATTAGAAATCATAACACACATTCCACAGAGGCCAATATTAAATTGAGTTACTGTCATGTGTGTATGGTCCTCTGGTCTATTCAATCAAATTCTGGCTGCTTAAAACCCAGAGGGAAAAGTTCTGTTCTTAGTTATACAGCTGTCCTCAATGGAAATTGTCAAGAATACAGGCCAAGAAGTGTTTAAAGTGCAGTATATGTTTAAAGAAATGTTCACATTAATTCAGATTTTGTTATTTTTCCATATGAGAGGTATATAGTGAAAAAGATGACATCTCCATACAGCACATGCTCAATTTTTTACTATGATGGAAATAAAGAATACTATGTTTTGCAAAGATGATGCTTTATAAGCTTGTAAAAAAACCACTTATTCAAACCATACCCAAAAACAAGACAACTGTGTAACAGTCCTCATAGCTGGCCTCCAAAATCACCAGAAGCAATAACCTCTAAAAAAGGTTCTTTTCTTTTGGTATTCAGTCAACTCATGATTCTCAGCAAGCGGAGAAGCAACAAGATAGAGACAAGACATCTGAGCAACATTCAAGTTCCAAGATTGATATTTTCACACAACTTACTGCTCAGGGATTCTATGATGCCATGTATGTCCTACAGGAAGTATGCAGCTGTTACCAGTTTCACCTATACTTAATAACTGCTAAAAAGACATGCCATGAAAGCCCTTAATAGATAGCACTGAAAGCACCTTGAATAGGCAAGACTTAAACAGAATCATCTTGGGAAAATGTGATGTAGAAACAAAAAACTAATAGCTTCTAACCCTCACTATTCCCTCAGTAAACTAACTGTTTAATTAAGCACAAAAATGAAATAAAGAAAATAATGTATACCAATTTTCTAGGTTTTTCTAGAGTCACTTCAATATTTTAAGAAGATTGAGTGTTTGCTACGGCAAATACAAACTAAAACACAGTAGCCAGAAGCAGAGAAGTGTCTGATGAACAATCATACAAAAAATATTAACCACATTATCCTGTCTGTGGAATCTAGGAAAAAATATACTTCAAAAATTGCAGAAATGTTAAATATAAAATAATTCTTGCAGATTTTTAATCCAAATGAAACCAACTTATTACAGTATTTGTTGGAGCCTGGTCGTAATTAAATACAGGAAGGATATTAAAACTTCCAAGAGATTTTTTTAAGCCACAACAGAAGAAAAGGCACAATTGCATAATTGGAACCAAATCCAAACCCCACTTCCTTCTTATTTATCAGTATCATCTAAAGGACACTATTTAGATGCTGAAAGGTCTGGAGCTTACAACTGTGAATCATCTAAAAGTCAAAAATTTCAAAGGAATCGTACGACATGGGTTAAAAGTTTATAGATGAGAGATATAGAAAGTTTCTGCTCACTGCAAAACCACATCCTAAGAATTACGATATCTCTTGTACAAAAAAATCCTAGAATCCTATTTTGTTGTGGGGAAAGAAATCCCCACATATTTAAAGAAATATTTAAAATATAGGATTTGAAAGAGAGATCCATATTTTAAGATATCCTAAAAATAATGTTTCTTCAGAGAATGGGATCTCACAGATCACAAATACAAAACTAACTTAACAGTGGGATAGTTCTTTAAAAAGTTTCAGATGAGTTTTGTTGGCAGTTGAATTCAGTTCAATACTTTGTTATTTGCATGTCTGTGCAGGAAATTTGTGTCAAAAGCATTCTCCAGCCCTCCCCTCCACAAAAAACAGAACAAAAGAAAAAAACCAAACAAACAACAGCAAGCAAACAAACAAATAAATAAATGTGTATATATATGTATATATAAATCCCCTTGCATTTCTACAAGGCATACAGAAAAGTGATAGCACAGACAGAGATGGACATTTAAATGCTAAGGTTTCTCCTGTAAAATAAACCAACCAGTTTTTTTCAAGATTTTCTAATTACCTGAGTGACTTAACCCCTGGGGTTTTTATTCCTTTCTGACAGTCAGTCATCAACACTGAACAATGAAGACATATGGCCAGGTTCACAATTTTAGGTTCAGACAAAGGGATGAAGAAAAGATCCAAGCACACTGCTATATTATGCTGGCAAAACCAAGAAGTTTCATATAAGACCCTGCTGTCACAACACTATAAATAGGATGGTTCAGTACACGTAGAAGATTCCTTTTTTTCTCATTAAAAAATACTACACTTCAGCAAAACTCATGCTGAAGGATAAGTTATCACAATGCGTCTGTTTCACCTCTAGTTCCTACCATTAATCAACACCAACAAGTACCAAATAAATGGAAAGTCTAAAACTTTAGGTTCCTTATTTTTTTGGCAGCATCCATGAGAAATATCAGAAAGTTCTTCTTTTTAAACATTCATCACATGAGGAAAAGATAGCTTTAGATACCTAGTTGGGTACATCAAAATCTCTTTAGAAACATGTCTCTTTAAAGACCCTAATCATATCACAGTAATTGTCTAACTTCCTTTAAAAAAACTCATTACTATCAGAAGTATTGCAAGAATAATTTATTTATTTACATTAATTTTCAGATTTGGACTACTCTTTCTTGGTAGACACACTCATCCTTATATACTTATAAGTAACCACCACTCTTACAAGAGGAAAGAAAACGAACCAAGAAACTAGATGTTCTGAGAGCGACTCAGCTGCTACTTATGTTTTTCTTCATTCATTTTAACACATCTTTTTAATGGGATTAATCACATGTTATTATTTTTTTTACTTTAGAACCTCATCCATAAATAATTCTTCCAATTTAAAAGATGTTGTCATTACAGTCTTGTGCCAGCACCCTAAAATTAATTTGGACTGAAGCAACTGGGTAATCTAAAACAAAAGAGCTGTTTTCTGAATAACATCTTTTATCCATACTCTGTTCCAATATATCAAATTATTTGAATTTCATTTACCCAGCACTGAAGTAAACAATAAAAAATATTTCTTTTTCAATGAGAGTGTGCATTTATGGAATTACTTCTTAATAACTTTTAGATAAATATAATTTGATAATGAGCAGGGAAGGGGCTAATGTTTAAAAAAACAACATGAAAAACTACTAAGCTTTTCCTTGACCATTTAGCACTGCTTCAACGAATCATGTAGAAGACAAACACCATGTCACATGTTCATTGTGACATTCATTTGTCACTGACATCCATCCAGGTCTTCAATCTCTTCCTTGTGTATGCTAGTGACTGGCTTAAAGGATAATGATGTGGAAGTGCAGAAAGAAATTTTCCAGTAAGATCACTTCTGTGTATAGACAAATCTACCCTAATCAAGGAAAAAGGTTATAAAGACAAATGAGGTAACAAAATAAGCTGAAATAAGAGAGCTACAGAAGCACCTAATTTGAACTCTTCTTGCTTTCAGCATTTGATAAAATACTGAATAATAATCAAGACTTCATTTAAAAAAAAAAAAACAAAAATAAAACAGTGGAACAAGGAATTAAACACACACACCCCTCCCAGAATTACTCTGGAAATTAATAAGAATTATCAGAAGTATTTTTTTAAAAATTAAAAATTAAACATCAAGGAGCAGCTGCCATAATATATAACACTACAGTACCTTAAACATAAAGTCCCCCTACATCCATATATATACAAAATATTTAATAAACATTTTTTTCTAAACATTTTTCCAATACAGATACAACATTTGCAAATACATTTAAGTATAATTAAGTCCAATTCTTACAAACATTTGCTCCAAAACAAATGAAAAGTTCTTTATTGATTTAAGCAAGGATTTCCCCTCCTTTCTGATTTCAGTAGTTATTCAGACAAAAGCAGGAGGCACTAAAACCAGAGCAACCTCAATCATTAGTCTCAATCATTGTTATCATACAATGATATAGGTGTCCAACCTCTTGCTCACACCTGGGCCAACTTTTAGCACAACAGGCACTGTAATTTCTCAGCTGTAGTGACAAGTACAATGTGAAGAAAAATACAATTGAATAAAGATGAAAACGATGGAGCACTGTAGATGCTTTAATTATGACTGCATACAATTTTGACATACATTCTAAAACAAACAAAAATTCCTCTGCATCATGTGCCTGGTTGGTACCAGCAAGTACCTGCATCAGCAAAACAATGTATCATCTGATCATATACAGCTCATATCAACGTCACTTGCTTTTTAAAAATTGTTTTAAGAAATCATTATTTTAATTATTTTAATTATAACTTAAAAATTATTATTAATTATAAATCACCAATGTTCTTCAAACATTCAAAGAAGAGTTAAAATTCTCATTATTTGTAGTATATGCTATATCTTTCATGATCAAAACAACTTTGCCTTTAATGCCTAGGAAAAATGCTGCATCTTCAAGCTTACTTCCTTCTTTAACTCCCGGAGCCTGGGAAGGAAGGCAGACCTCCTGGATTACATTACTTTGAAACTTGGGTGATCCTTTAATACTCCAGGTGATTTTGCACAAGTTACTCAGTCCCTCTAGAAGTAACGTTCCCCAGTGCCAAAGCCTTCCTTTCAACATTGCTTTCACCACCTAGGCTTGTCTGTATCCAATTACTCACTACAACTGTTACAATCTCAGTGATATGATAAACCTTGATTAACCTGTGTTTCCAAAGAACATGGCAGCCCTTTGCAAAAAGTGAAAACCAAACTTACTTCAATAGCAACAATAACCATGTCACATGAAATGGTCACTACCAGAGTGGCAGGTCAAGAGAATATTATTATGACAAGAGAATAATATTATTATTGTTGTCATTAGTTATACTAAGTAATGCACATTAATTGATATGCAAATGGTATTCTTAGGTTCAAACATCTACACAAGAAAAAGCAATATTTTTACAACTCCTACCTGAGTTGACAAGAGATTGCAGTCAATGTGTAGTCCTTTCCCCGTCTTATACCTCTGAAGTAAACCAGCCATAATTGCTCCATATGTAAACAACCCAGTAGCAAGGTCTGTCATTGCTACTCCTGGTCTAACTGGCTCACCATCCTAAAGAAAAAAAAAACACCCCAAAATGAAACAAGACAAACAAAACAATAAACAAAGAAAAAATTAAAGCAGGAAAACAAGCAGAGACAACACAATGGTGCAGGGGCTTGGATCTTATTGGCATGACGGAGACATGGTGGGATGACTCCAGTGACTGGAGGGTTGGAATGGAGGGATACAGGCTCTTTAGGAAAGACAGGCAAAGGAGACAAGGAGGCAGTGTTTCCCTCTGTCAGTGACCAGCTGGAGCACATAGAGTTTCACTGGGGATGGATGAAGAGCTGAGAGCACAGGGAGGGCAATTGCAGGTAACATTATCATCCTGCTACACCCATCCAGGGAGATGGAGTGGATGGGGCCCTCAACAGAGAGATCACAGTTGCCTCACATTCACAAGCCCTGGTCCTCATGGCGGCTTCAACCACCCCAATATCTGTTTGAGAGACAACAACATAGAACCACATGCTGTAGGAAATGATCAGGTCCGAGACCATCTAGGGAACCTGAACGTGCATAAGCCCACTGGACTTGATGACATACATCTGCAGGACCCAAGGGATTTGGCAGTGGGAATGGCTAAGCCACTATCCATCATATTTGAGAAGTCATGGTAGGGCCAGGAAGTTCCCATTGACTGGAAAAAGGGAAACATAACCCCCATATTTAAAAAGGGTAGAAAAGAAGATCCAGGGGACTATGGGCCCACCAGTCTCCTCTTCCTATCCAGAAGGATAATGGAGCAGATTCTCCTGGAAGCTATGCCAAGGCACATGAAAAATAGGCAGGTGACTTGTGACAGCCAACACAGCTTCACTATGGGCAAATTGTGCCTGACAAATTTAGTGGCCTTCTATGATTACAGCATTACAGCAGTAGTAGAGCTGGGAAGGGTGACTAATGTCATCTACTTGGACTTGAGCAAAGCTTTTGACACTGTCCCACATGACATGCTTGTCTCTAAACTGGCCACTTGGTAGAGAAGGAATTGGTTGGATGGTTGCACTCAGTTGGAGGTAGTGCAAGAAATTAGTATCTTTGACTGAACTGATGTAAAAAACTACCACTGAAAACCAGGTATTCTTGCAGCATGTACACAAAACTACCACTTTGTGATGCCACATACTGCAAATCATGAAGGATTTATTATGCAACTTTTTTTCCCTGATAACATAATGCTTCAACTCAGCAGTGCAAAAATAAAAGAGAAAATGTTAGAGACAAGTGAAGCTAGTGAAGACTGAATTTTATGTCTAGAAGCCAAAGGCCCAAACAATTTCTACAGTACGCTGACACAGATGCCTGTCTGTTTAAAAGGCAGAGCCATATTACTTCATTCTTCTCACTCCCTTTCTCTCCCTCCTCCTCTTCAGTCCCTCCCCAAGTCAAAGCTCAGTTTTGTATTTTCCATTATACACACTCCAGACTTCTAATAACAAAAGAAAAACAAATTTTTGTCTACACATGTAAATATTACACATGCAAACACATGCAAATTCATGACCTTCCAACTGAAGTATTTGAAAAGGTGTTTGTTCAAATATCCTTTTCTTGTATGTCATCCCTTTTCTAGCATCAAGGGAAGAATCTTCATGTTAACATCATGTCTTTCAGAAATTCTGTAATCATTGGCATGATATATGTCCCCTCTGAAATCAGTGGCGAAATTAATTTCTAATTTCAGCCCAGGTAGGCTTTTATCATAGTGCATCTTCTGAAATATTCTCCATTTCCTACTCTGAAAAGTTTGAGGTCAGGTGATCAGATTATCACAGCAGTTCCTTATTTTGAAGTCCTATTTTTTGTTTGCTTTTTGGGGTTTTTTAAGTTTATAAACCTTGAAGAAAAGCAGCAGTGCAAAGCTAATGAGACTTCCAGAGTTCTGGCACCCAAGTAAGCCTATCACAAGACAACTTAAAATCATTATAATTGATAAATAATAACTGCCAATAAAGTCTAAACTGCTAAGTGGAATTACTGTTTTATTATTTATTTATTATTACACTGCTAAGTGTAATAATAACATTCTAAATAAGACTGTAAGAATTGTTTTCTGATAATTATTTTAAGAGTGTCTTGGCTTCATGTAAGAAAATATTTACCATCATTTTCCTTTGCACTCCAATAGGATTTACACAAACCTGCTATCAAGTCATGTATGTTATTATGTTTTTCTTTTAAAATTTGTATTTTATTATCAGTTGCATTAATAGAGCAATTCTGAAATAAAAGACAGTAAGACAATATTTTCTACATATGATGGAAAAGACTTCTATTTTATTCGTATTATGAAATTGACTAAAAATTACAAAATCTGTATAAAATATAAAAAAAAATTAAAAAATTACTGTTGTTCAAACCACAGTAAGGATTAGTCTGTGACTATCTATAGCCTAGATATCCATGGGATGATATATAAACTACACAATATTAAGGTGAACACTGTTTTAGGAGGTAGTACTTTCTTGGAGAATCTCTTATTTCTTCCTTCTTGAGACTCTACACTAAGCTATTTCAACTTCCCAATAGAAAACACAACTCAGAGGTTCCAGCTATTTACCACTCTCATTATACCCAACTCCAGGAAACAACAGGAAAGTTTGTTCTTCACTTTTATATGCAAAGGCCTACCAAGAACACTAATTAGCCCATGAGAAGGTTTTTGCTCCTCAGAGCTACCACAGAGAAATAAAAACAAACAAACAAATCCAAACAAACAAAAAAACCCACACAGCAAAAAAACACAGATACAAAAACACCCAACCAAACCCCAAAAAATTAACTCATTATCTGCTGCAAGTAATCAATTCATTAAATTGTTATTTTAACCACTTCATTACATTCACTGGGTTGAGAAGAAACCAAAAAGACTTGAGATGTGCTGCAACATTCTTAGTTTGAAAACTTTTTCCACTGTTTTCAGTGTCATTAATTTTTCTCTTGAAGAAGAGCATTAAATTTTGAAGATGGAGAAATTTGGATTATTTTAATATGTGGTTATATATGAATTCTAAAACCTTTCTCATCAAGTACTGAACTACCTAATGTTTAAAAGCAAACACTTCCTTTGTCTCAGTAAAAAGTTCACCTTTATTTCTAATATACTTTCACAATTTCCCCTTACAGAACACTCCTACAAACTACTAGCACTATAGTGCTATACTATTTTTAACATGCTGGCTTTGCTTTATCCTAACACTCCACAACCTATAATTCTGAACCAGTCCACACAATTTCTAGCCATCCTTGGTCTTTCTACCATGACCCATGAGTAGCTGTCAGGTCTCACCATTTAATCATCTTTAATCAGCTCCTGTGCCATAAAACCAGTCTTTCTGTGGTAGGATCCACATGTGAAATGGATTCATCCAGGCTTTTATCACTATCCTGCAGAACAAGAGATGTGAAGCTGCTTTACTTGAAGGATAAATCTATGCACACATAGAAACACCTTGATTTTGACAGAGCTTCTGCCAGCACAGAAGTACTTTTGTGTAGCTAGCATTATACCAGTTACCTGGGCAAAGTAAGTACACAGTGTCTTTTATTCAAGCAAGTTATTTCAAACGGGACAAGCACCACCAGCCCTGCCAGACAATAGTGATATTATTGTTCTGGTAGGAAGACCAAATGTAGCCCTATCCAGGGAGAATGTGTCTTAAGCAAACAAACCTGCCATCCAGCCTCAAGGGCTGGCTTGAGCCCTAAATCAGGTGCAGCATCAGGACTTGCCCTTTCCTCATTTGAAATGATAAATATTCATACCAGCAAAGCACAGCTTTTGTTTTTAAATCACTGTGCTATTGCTCAACCTTATAGTTTACACTTTTATTCCTAATTTTTGCTGTTTGCTAAATTCCTTACAATTTGTCAACATATTCTGGCCCAGATATAGCCACAACATGTGTTAGAAGCCTCCTTTCCTGAATTGTTTTTTTTTTTCCCTTTGACATAATTTCTCTTCCCAAAATTACATCAATAATACAAAAATCATCCATTTAAAATGAAAACTGTTTTGAAATGACATGCTTAATAAAAGCATTCTAAGTCCAGTAGTCCTTACAGATGTGAAATAATTGCTGAAGCTAATATGAACCAGCAATGGCTGTATTTTTCAACAGCTCTGAGCTATATACATGTGGATCCTTTTGTAACAGTTTGGTACTAAACCTAAGAATGGCTTCTCTAGATTGCAGATTAAATGGTAAACAAAATTTGTATTTTTTTTTTTAAATGTAAAATAAATTTGGTTTTCCACAAGAAAGAATACACCACCATTAAAGATATTTCAAATATTGAAGACCACGTGTAATATTCCACAAGGAGGTGGAAGGGAACTTGTAATCAAATTGGACTTTATTTAATTAATTTCAAGTTATTGCCTTGATGAGTCATAGAAATTTTCATCAAAGGGATATTCATCTGGCACTGATGTATCTAAATATATTAAGTAAAAGCTTTCTGTTCATCAATTATGAAACTTGAAAGTGCTGTTTAACCAGGAAGTATCTATAAATTACATTGTCCAGGACAATAAAACTGTCATCAGTGCAAACTTTGTCCTTTAGCATCTTTTAATTTATGTAAAGAAAACCTGAACATGCCCTGAAGCAACTACTTTCATTCAAAATGGGTTTATGTTAGCGATTTACACAAAACAGATTCCCCGCATAAATACATTAAGATTTTCAAATTTCACAGGTGTGATACACTTCTATTACAGAAGTAATCAAGTACATTTTCAAGGCCTTGAATCACATGCAGGTTTCTGTATGATTTAAAGATGATTTAAAGACACTTGGGTTTATACAATCAGCAAAAACAACACTAGCACAAATGCAGTTGTTTGTGCCAGTAATTTTGCAATATTTCAGAAGTTATAGCTTGATTTCAAGGTTCAGAATATCACTCAGAAAAATTTTAAAGTTATTACCATTAAGTGATACCAGGAAAAATAAAAGAGGAAAAAAAAGCAAACTTGTTTTTTGTTTTTATAGGTAGGAATATGTACTGCTATTGGATTGTACATTTTTGTATATATCAGATGCAGGACAAAATATTAGTACCCTATTATTAAAATGCTTTATAAAGAACCATAAATATGCATACCTCAATATAAATATGTATACCTCAACATTAATCATCTCAGCCATGTATGCAGATGCTTTTTTTGCTGCTGCTCAGATTCATTACAATTTGTCTGCCGCATAAGCTGATGCCTCTAAGACCATCCTGCAACAACATTCAATGGTTTGTTTACCAAAGGGATGTTTCCAAAGAGCACTGTTGCACTGATGATGTTATGGTGATTATCTATAGCTACTGCAATTAAATACAAAACCAACACCATGTGTTATAACTTGTCCTTTTTTTCTTTTCATTTCCAGTTTATGAGTGGCCTTTTCTATTTTATTCTAAAAAAAGAAAATCAGACCCTAGCCTACACATTCAAATGAACTTACTATTTTTAGCACATTTATTCCACACAATCTAGTCAACAAAAAACAGCATGAAATAATAAGATTTTTTTTAGTTTTGGCCACTCTTCAACATGTTGACTGAAACAAGGCTTTCTACTTTTGTTCAGACCTAGTTTTTGAAATTTTAAACACAATTCTGTCACATGAACATAAATGTAAAAAAGTGGAAGATTCTACTATTAACATTTTGCTATTTTGAAGCAACTTTCAAACAAGCATACACTGTGATTTTATAGCCACTTGGGTAAGTTTTCACTACGACAACAAAAACCACATTTGTTTCTTTGGAGTCATTGACTGCTTAAGTCTTTGAAACAATACTGTCGCTCTATACATCAAAAAATTATTTCAAGAAACTGAGGAAATACTACATAAACAACTTCAAGAAAAGAAAAAACAGGGAAATTTTAGCACGCTTATTTTAATCAGGTGAAACAGTGACTAAGTTTGAATGAATTGTTAGAAGCCCCCAGTGAACAGACCAAGCTGTTACTGACAATGACTAAATGATTCCTATGATTACATTACCTCAAGTCATGGTGAGGTGATGTGAACATCTGGCTTTCCAGTGTAGATCTTAACACAATCTTTTAATAAAATCCATCTTCATAAGAGCCACTGAGGACTATTACTTTCATAATATAACTTGCATGCAATTATTCAGTATAACTGTTATTTATTCTGGCACTCACATATCATTGAAAAGCTGTACAAAAGTCCTGTGGTTTTCAATCTTTCTATCTACTTTCCTTTATTCATGTTGTACCAACAACATCTGCCCCCTCCTAACAGTTTTTATAACCTTTTAATTTTGATTTGTATGTTTTGAGGTGTGCATGAAGTTTCTGGTGTTGTGTTGGAAGTATTAACCCCCATGCTACAGACACAATGTTAAATTTACTTACACTACAGTTACTGTGATCAGTCATTGCGAAGTGCATATGTGCACTTTTGAAGGGAAGTGCCTGTAAGGACTGCACTCAATTTCACGTCTTCTCATGTTCTGAGATGGGACATCCTAGGAGTATGTACCAATAACACAGCAGAAATTGGCAGTGTCAGGAAACTAGGCACAAGATGTTTCAGCTTACTCAGTCAAAAAATGCTTGATTTTGGCTTTTTTCCCTGATAAAAAGGACAACTCTGGTAATGATAGCTGCCAGAAGTACAAATTTCTGATGTTTGCCATTGTTCCCAGTAGAAAACAAGTCTATTGGCAGAATACCAACCATACAATAGAGCTGTGTCCAGATCATATGTGGTTAGCTTTCAACAACCTACTCAAACATGAAAAGCTGACAGCACAAAAACTTTATGAATGCCTTGTTTATCTAGAACATGCAAGTATTGTACTCACAAGATCTGCACTACTGCTTCCAGAGTACCAGGAGAACCACCACAGAGCAGTATCTAGCATTTATAATGCATAGAACAGACTTGTAGCACCACCTCACTTGAAAAGGGACATTTGGGGACCACATTACCGGCTCCTGTAGGTGATTCAAGACAGCTTAATTAAATGCTTATTTGACCAGCATTTTTCTGAGGTGAAGACACATGTTCTGCGTACCTCTAGAATCCAGAAACTAAACTACTGTTATGCTTCCTGCACTGCCAGAACTACCAAAGATTTTGGGTGTCAGTAGGAATAGGCAGCACGTAAAGCTTTTCCAGAAATGCATGGCATCTGTCTGCCTATTTGCAGGCAGAATAAATGAAAAACACCCAGCTTTTTTCAGATTTATCTAGATAGCTTCACAGTTCCTGCTTTTACAAAGGGAATATCAATATCCAAGCATCAGTCAGACCTCACACTCATAAGTATGGTTCTATCATCCAACTGTCAATGATGTGTCTACTACAGCTCTCGAAGTGACTAGGAGTGGCTATTAACAGGTTAGCATACATTGCAAATTTATTCACAGGAGACTTAGGATTTTTCTTTTTTTCTTTAATTTTCTGTTTCTTGAGCCTTTTTCTTTACATGCCTGGAGTGAGACACCTGAAGTATATAAGTACTATTATTTTCTTAGATTCCCAGAGATGAGACCTCTTGCTGGACTCAGGAGGGTTTGCATAACAGATGTGTTAGCACAGGTTGACTTGTTTCATGCAGCAGCCAGTTTTGGTATGCAGCACAAAGATCCTATAAAATTTGTAAGTTGTGCACTATACCTCATGCCCTGTGATATGCATGAGACCAGAAACAGCAGCAGCAATGGAGTCATATCCACCTCTCTGAACCACTGGACCAGTCTGACCATAACCTAAAAGAGAAACAGAACAGTTAGTAATTCAAGCAAGGACAATTACAACGTAAACAATTATTGCTCCTCAGCTTTTGTTAACAAGCTGTCCAGATTGTACAACCAATGAATGCTGTTGTATTCTATTTAGTCCTGCACATTTTTAAAGTAAAGTTGGATTTATCCTCTGTGGGTTGAGAATGTGTTTGATCTTAATTCTAGACAGACTTGTATCCCTGCTATGTTTCATTCCTTTGGGATAAAATTTCCTTTTTAATTCACTGTGTCAGCTGAGGTTGGACTCAGATGTTATTTCAGAGAATCTACAGTATCTCTACAGACCTACAATTGCTGTCCAACAGCACCCATCTTGCCTGTGTTATCTACACTCGGCTGTAAGGATACCTTGAATACCCCAAATGATACTAAAATCATGACACTATGGTTTAGACACATGTATTACTCCCCACCTCATTTCTGTTACTTTATTCTGTATCTAAACAGAGTTACCTTCAAAATAAAACATTGTTTACAAGAGATGGCAAGGCTTCAGCAAGTACATACAATCTGTTTGCCGAGAGTTAGCACCAACAAAATCCAAAATACTGAGAATTTTTACTGATCTACCTAAATACAGTTTTGTTCAGCTGTATAATTAACTTAAAATAAACAGCTGTAGCTAGAAGGATGCTGTCTTACTTTTCTTTGCTATAGTAATCATGTTCTTCCAACAACAACCACAAAATCTTCCAATTGAGGACGTCTTGCAGAAGCAGCTGAGGAGGTCACTGGAACCAGTGACCACCATCATAGAGGGTAGAAGTCAACAGGGAAGGAGCAACATATTTGATTGATAGTTTCTACTACATCTAATAATGGCAGAGCCCTCAATAATCAGATTTAATCATTTGTCCTCCTCAAAAGAGGAAGCACATTTGAAGCTATTTTAATGCTTTCTTTTCTGATACCTCTAAGAGAAATCCCTTGGAGCAGTTAGAAGATATTTGTCACAGACAAATAACTGTAGTTTTAAAGCAACATTTCTGTTTAATTCTTACCTGTGAGGACAATATTAGAATTACATTATATCAACATATACTGCAAGGCAAAAATTCCTGAGTGTCCTAAATTTCTTTTCATAATTTGCCTGGAAAAATCTTCTCCATATACAGGCAGTCTGTTCAGTAGACATGACAGTCTAAACATTGGCTTTGTGAATTAAAGCAGACAATTAAAAATCATTTTTCATTGAGGTAATCTACCTCAGTTCCTCCACTTGGGTTGATGCTGTTATGTGCATAATTCATAAATCACTCCTAATGCATAATATGAGAAGATTACAATGACTGTGATCTGCAGTTAAAGCACTTTGTTACTCGAATTGATAAACCATACCAAGCAAAACGATATCCACTTACCACAAAGATTTCCCCACTATACCACAAACTATCTCAATTGCCTGATCTTCTTCTGGAGACATGAGAAACGTGTTGTGCAAAGCTATGGAGGAAATCAACTTCTACACTCAGTGTCACAGGGAATAGCAGAATACTACAGCCAGTTCACTGACTTTATCAATGTAGCTTCAAAACTAACATTTTGCAAGAAAAAAGTATTTTTTTACTTTTCTTATGATCAAGTGTGTGTCACTACTCACAAGAGAGAAGATTAACCAGTTTGGCCAACTTTATTTGAAATCTGACAACAATTTCGAGATCCCAAAGAGAACTCACGGCATTTCCTCTCATATTTACACTCTTAAGTTTACAGCAAAGAACAGGGTATTCAAATATAAGAGGACTAGCAAATAAAATATTCTGGATCCACCCAAAAATGTTCCAAAGAGCTCTAACTAGGCATATACCATTATCTCATTGGAATGAACTGTAGAATTAAAACCAGTTAAGTGTGTGGGGCCACTTCAAAAACAAAATCTTGCTCAATAAAAAAAGTACTCAAAACAACTTTAATTGAATAGTGAAAAGCATATTGAAGTAAGTGAGAAGTTACGTACTGGCCTCAATTGCTAACAAAGAAAAGACATCTCAACACGTCTACTCACACAAATGTTTTCATAAACAGCGAACATCTGAAAATTAAACATTTACTATGTAGACAGAACAACTATACAACACTTTGCAATGCTCCTCTGGTAAGGACAAATATCCATCCCTCAAACACTGAATTCAAGAACGATGACAGGCAACAAGATCTGCATTTTTCTAGAGGAGTTTCACAAATAAAATTTTTAAACTCCTTTTCACACATTGTAACAGCCAGGTTTCAAAATAAAAGGTATTATTTAATGGCTTTCTGGTAAATATTAGAACTGATATGGAGTGTTTAATTAGTCTTCAGAGGTCACAATAGATTAAAAAGAAAAAAAGACATAATTCTGCTTTTTATCTGAATTCTGAGGGGACAAAGCTAGTATGGGAAGAAAATTTGTTGTCATTGGAAATTGTTTTCCTCAGGAATTACAGATATACCAGATTCCTGCAGGAAAAAGTAGAATTAAGTGAGAAATAGCTATTGCTAAAAATGAAAGATTTCATTATCCAGACAAAAATCAAAGGCTGAACATTATTTTCACAGTCAATGGAACAACCCAGTGGAGATGTTTTAGAAATAACTATGAACACAAACACAAAATCTTGAAGAAGAGCCAAAAATTACATTCAGAGAATATTCAGCTTGGTACACAGATAACAGTAACTATAATATATACATATGTACATATACATGTGTACATATATACATAAATATGTAAAATAACTCACTAAAGATAAAAATAGGACCTAAAGTTTATGTTTGTCTGAATACCCTGTGTTCTCTCATACTTAATTCTGTGTGAAAAGTGTACGTTTGCAGTTACACTCTCAAACTTAAATATAGGCTCCTGTTAAAAATAGGCTCCTGTTTAAATACAATGAAAAATACTTTAGGGTAAAAACATAATCCCAGTTGAATACAGAGAGAATAGATTTAACAGTGATGGTTAACAGTGATTACTCAGAAAGTAAGATAAGGCAGATTATTACACCCCTGTTCCCTTTTAGTGAAGCTTATCACCATAAGCTCCAGTCAGTATTTAAATAGTCTCTACCAGTAAAGAATTTATTATAGATCCCTAAACCCAGTGTAGATATTTTTATTTTGGGGAATAGATTTCAGAGAGACAAAAGAATTTAAATTTTAATTTAATTAAACTAAGTGTTTTCTATATCATTTCAGCTTGACAGGCAGCTGCCTAGATTCTAAATCTCATGTAACCTTTAGATTCATGTAAAACAGAATCTGCAAGGAACAAAACAAAGTTGCACCACACTAAACCCCTATTCAGCTCCCAAAATCCCCATTCTATACCTTGCAGGAGGAAGACATGATTTCTTCTGATACCTCTCACATCCTCATGTGTCTAGAATTCAAAATGGTTGCAGTATGAGCCGGTGTTCTCTACTGCAAAATGTACACCAGTTCCAGAATCAAACCAAGCACAAGACAATAACCCCCAGTTAGATCTCCAAGTCCTTCCTAAAAACTGTCATTGTCAAAGCATTATTTAATCTGCATAGCAAGGTTTTGAAATTGCCACAAACAGAATCACACGGAATCACAGAATGGGTGGGGTTGGAAGGGACCACAATGGGTCATTTGGTCCAACCTCCCTGCTCAAGAAGGGTCGTCCTAGAGCACATAGCACAGGATTGTGTCCAGATGGTTTTTGAATATCTGCAGTGAGGGTGACTCCACACCCTTTCTGGGCCATTTTTTCCTGTGCTTGGTCACCAGCACAGTCAAGAACTTGTTCCTCATGTTCAGGGGGAACTTCCTGTGTATCAATTTCTTCCTGTTGCCTTATCTCCTGTTGCTTGGCACCATCAAGAGCCTGGCTCCATTCTCTTGGTATCACCCCATCAGGTGCTTAGAGACATTGATGAAGTCCCCTCTCAGTTGTCTCTTCCCAAGGCTGAACAGGCCCAGTTCCCACAGCCTGTCCTTGTACAAGAGATGCTCCAGTACCTTAATCACCTTTATAGCCCTCCAGTGGCCACACTCCAGGAGCTCCATGTCCCTGTTTTACTGAGGAGCCCAGAACCGGACACAGCACTCCAGATGTGCCTCACCAGGCTGAGTCAGGAGGGTCAGGATCACCTCCCTCCACCTGCTGGCAATGCTCTTCCTAATGCACCCGAGGAGACCATTGGCCTTCTTGGCCACAGGGGCTCACTGCTGGCTCATGGACAGCTTGTTGTCCACCAGGACCCACAGGTCCTTCTCCACAGAGCTGCTTTCCAGCAGTTTGGCCTCCAGACTGTTCTGGTGCAGGGGGTTATTCCTCCCCAGGCAACCACTAAAGGAGCATTTGCTTATTCAGCACAATCACACCTCAATCTTCCTGTTCTGACCCTGCAGCCAAGTCTATCTTCTACATAAGACAATGTGGAAACTTTTACTCTTTGGGTGTGAGTAGCAGTGGCTACTTGTCAACTTAAGGGAAATATGGGAAAAACACAGGCATTTACAAAGCAATGCCACAGCTTTCCACCAGCAGTCCAGTACCCTTAGCTCAAACATGAAGGAAGGGACTTTAACCAATTGGAAAGTTCTAAAAAACAGAAGATGCTAAATAGAGGCAGTAAAAATATTTTTTACATGAAAAGTTTTAAAGAATTTTCTCAACCAAGATCTCCACTATCACTCCTTGTTTGTCTGCAGCATTACATAGTGTATGAATATTCAAAATTAGACATGCTTAATGTGACATTAAAAAATTGATATCTCTCTGCTCTTGCATCTACTTTTCTTTTAATATTTGGGTAAATATGACAAAGTTTTATAAAATAAGGTTGTTACTATGTAATAATGGAGCTCACAGCTGTTCTAAAATGTCTCCAGCTGTTTGATGACCAAACCTTTGATATGGAGCAACAAGACTTAAGGTGCCTAAAAATATTTATCTAGCAAAACTGAAAAATAATCACATCAAGACAAACAGTAAATTATAATAGCACTAAGAT